CCAACTAATCTTTGACAAAGCAGGAAAGAGCATCCAATGGGAAAAAGACAGCCTCTTTAACAGATGGTGCTGGGAGAACTGGACAGCAACATACAGAAGAATGAAACTAGATCATTTTCTCACACTATACACAAAAATAAACTCAAAATGGATAAAGGACCTGAATGTGAGACAGGAAACCGTCAAAACTCTAGAGAAGAAAGCTGGAAACAACCTCCTTGACCTCTACCGCAGCAATTTCTTACTTGACACATCCCCAAAAGCAAGGGAATCAAGGGCAAAAATGAACTATTGGGACCTCATCAAGATTAAAAGCTTCTGCACGGCAAAGGAAACAATCCATAAAACTAATAGGCAACCGATGGAATGGGAAAAGATAGTTGCAAGTGACATATCAGATAAAGGGCTAGTATCCAAAATCTATAAGGAACTCACCAAACTCCACACTGAAAATCAGATCATCCAGTGAAGAAATGGGCAGAAGACATGAACAGACACTTCTCCAAAGAGGACATCCAGATGGCCAACAGACACATGGAACGATGCTCAGCATCCCTCCTCATCAGGGAAAAACAAATCAAAACCACACTGAGATACCACCTCACATCAGTGAGAGTGGCTAAAATGAGAAAATCAGAGGACTCTAGGTGCTGGCGAGGATGTGGAGAAATGGGCACCCTCCTACACTGTTGGTGGGAATGTAAAGTGGTGCAGCCTTTCTTTTGCCTGGATTTCTTTCCCCAGATACCTGCATGGCTCATTCCCTCTTGTTCTCTCTCTTCCTTCAGATCTATTTTCACATGTCACTGTCATAGAGGATCCTTTCCTCATCTTTCTGTACAAAATAGGAATGTGTGCCACCCCTGATGACATATTTCCTTTAATCTGGCCCTGTATCATTCTCCATACAGCTCACCATCTGTAATGCTGTATATTTACCTAGTTAACAGTCTCCTACCATTGTGATGAAAGCTCCATGAAGGTGAGATTTGCCCGTTTATTCAATGGTGTAATCTTCAGTGTCTTGAACAATGCCTGCCATCTAGGATGAGCTCAATAAATAAATGAATAAATCTATTCTTCTTGTGTGTTTTCTCTTCTTGAGAAATTTCTGCTCATATTTCTGCTGTCCTTATTGCTGATGCTCTACAAAGGACTTGTAGGAATCTTGGTGTCTTTACTTTGACTCTTCTTTCTCCTACATGTTGTCTGTGTCCCCTGAAATGTATGATATTTCCTATCATTTATCCTCTTGTTTATTTTCTTTTCTCCATTATTCTCTCTTTGTTACTCTCACTTATAGAAAGAGGTGGTATTCTTTCTTTTTTTTTATTTTTTTATTTTTTTATTTTTATTTATTTCTGAGAGAGAGAGAGAGACAGTGTGAGCAGGGGAGGGTCAGAGAGAGAGGGAGACACAGAATCTGAAGCAGGCTCCAGGCTCTGAGCTGGCTGTCAGCATGGAGCCCGACACGGGGCTCGAACCCATGAACCACGAGATCATGACCTGAGCTGAAGTTGGACGCTTACCCAACTGAGCCACCCAGGCGCCCCGTATTCTTTCTTATCTCCAGAAAATGTCTGGCTTCCTGACAGGGACACCAGGAATATAATTCCAACAGGAAACAACCCATACTTCTCCAGAATTTTCTAGTTCTTGAGAGCAAGAACTGGAATGTTTCTTTAAAAAAAATTCACATAAAGAAGTGAGAGAGGGATCAAACTGGCTGCCAAGGAGAGACTGTCATTATCTGATTTCTTGTCAGAAACTCTCTCTTATCACCTTTAACACATTGCTACCTACCTTGTGCTGCACATCTTTATGGGATATCAAATACTCAGATCACATTAATTAGAATGGCTATGGTAAAATAAAATCACCAAAACAACAACCAGAAACAACAGTGTAGGCAAGGATGTGGAGAAATTGGAATCCTTATACGCTGGTGGTGGAAATGTGAAATGGTGTAGCCACTATGGAAAACAGGGTCTTGAAGAGATATTTGTACACTCACGTTCATACCAGCATTATTCAAAATAGGCAAAAGGTAGAAACAACCCCAGTGTTTACTTTTGGATGAATAAATAAAATGTGATACACACATACAATGGGATATTCTTCAGCCTAAAAAGGGAAGGAAATTCTGATACATGCTACAACACTGATGAACCTTGAGGAGGTTATGCTCAGTGAAATATGCCAGTCACAAAAGACAAATACAGTATGATTCCACTGATCTGAGATACCTAGAGTAGTCAAGTTCTTAGGGATGGAAAGTAGAATGGTGGTTGCTGGATGCTGGGTGGAAGGGGGAATAGAGAGTTGTTTCATAGGTATAAAATTTTAGTTTTGCAAGTTGAAAAGAGTTCTGGAGATTGGCTTCATAACAATATGAAGGTACTTAGCACTATGGATTTTTCACTTAAAAATAGTTATGATGGTAAATTGTACATTATGTGTGTTTTACAGCAATTTAAAAAGTCCTCATAGACCAATCACTGTGAAAATATACTGGAAGATGGAATGTGGGAAAAGGGATTTATAAAATCTCACTGAATGTCCTTTAAAAGCTTATAGACCAAATTTATATATAGCATTTTAGTTCTGGGCAAATGATCAACTTTGTTAATGACTAAATGCATCTAAAATAAGGTAGCTTAAGAATCTGCTGAAGACTTACAATATTACTAGAAATGAATTGAAATAATATTATTCAATGTTGGCAGTATTTTGGGGAAATAGCTATCCTAATATACATTACCATTATACTATTCTTTTATTATGATTTTATTATACATCGGCACTTTTTTTTAATTTCTGGAGAAGAATGTGGCAATGTGTAATAAGATCTTTTAAAAACCTGGTTATTCTACTTTGGTGAGTTTATTCATTCATTGAATAGTCACTAAACATTTACCTTTGATAAATGGCAGTTCTGGGTGTGGTGAATACAGTGGTGACATCCATCTAATCCTTGCCCTCAGAGTTTACAGTCTTACAGGGAAAAACAGACACGTTCATGGGTGTAGTGGACATATATTATTTGGTACCCAGGATCCATATTTCCATTTTCTGATAACACTATTCCAAATCTTCCTTAGGAAACATCTTTTCCTCATTTCTACCACATGAATGAATTGGCCGTAACTACAAGTACAAATCTATCATTGTATTTTACCTATCTGGCCTCTGTGATTGGTTCAGAGATAGCACATAACTCACGTGAAGCCAGTGAGATGAATTAAGATGTTTGCTGGGGCTTCTGAGAAAAATATGTTTCTTTTTGCTGTATTATGAAGGTGTGAGGTTTAAAGCTGCTGCCGCCATCATGATTCCCTGGGGCATGTCAGCCGAAGGATGAAATTGATTCCTAGAGAAAGGCAGAGCAAAACAATGAGAGAAATGGATGGTGTCTTCTGAGCCTCTGGATTGAAGGGCCTGCCGCCAGCTCTACCCTTGGCCTTTCAACTGTATAAGCTAGTAAGTTCTCTTTTATGTACAAGCCAGTCTGAATTGCAGGCTGTCACCTACAACAGAAGGAAAGTCAACTCATACACATGTGGTGTACTGATGGGATGTCACATAGAGTAACGGGGAGAGAAGTGAGTCCGGAAATTGCATAGGAAAAGAGTCCTGAGGCATATACCTAAGGAAATAGCTAAGAAAAAAAATAGAGCAATTTATACTAAGATGTTTATAGCAACCTTTTTCCTAAGAGGGAAAAAAAATGGAAATAACCCAAATGTTCAATAATAGGTACATTATTAAGCACATCATGGCCTATAAATATAATGTAATACATACCAATATGATGAAAAGCCATTTAAGTTGACAAATATGTACACTATTTGGATACACAGTAATGCTCAATCTGATTTTGTTCAGCACTAGGAACTCAGCGGGATATTAACGTGAAATAGTTTAATGTTTTTCCAATCTCTGTGCTCTGTCGAGTCCCCCCTCCCCTTTCTTTTTGCATTAGCAACATTTTTGGCCAATCCCATGGGTTTCCAGTGATTTTCAGTTATTCAAACTCCAGGCTTAGATCTGATCTCTGTCTGAAATTGAAATCCTGTTCTCCCAGCCTCAGCAGAGCCCAGAGGCCTCACTTAAGAGGGTAAGTATGTGGGCTGATATTTCAGTCTCCTCACTGCTGCCAGCTTAGAAGGAAGGCTTATTTGGAGGTCTGATTTTAGAATCAGTCTCTCAATTCTTACCCATTCTCAAAGACCAGTTTCTGTTGCCTTGGGATTGGATGAGGAAGAGAGGCAGAGATCTCATTATCCTGACTTGAGAGTGGTTTTTCTTGGCACATGGCTGCTGGGCATCACCTTGGCATCCATATCCCTGTCTCCTCTATCTCCTGGGCTCCTTTCTTGCCTGTGGGCCCATAGGGACTGAGTTTCTCTCTTCTGACTCTCAGTTGCCTCAGAAGCTGGGAAAGGATGCTAAGAATCCTTGTCTTGACCGCTATTAGTTTTTTCTTCTCCCTCCGCCTGTAGCTACTCCTAAAGCTTTTTGCCTCCAGAAATTTCCAAAGGAGAAGAAAGTGCCTTTATCAAATTCACAAGTGCTACACAACTCCCAGGGCTACAGATCAAGCTCTCTCGATAATTCTCTCATTACTCTCCATTCTGGTGGCTGCATCATTGTGGACTTGCTGGTTTATAGCTCAGCAAGGATCCAGGCAGAGGAGAGATGGTAGTCTTTCTTTCTCAGGCTCTGTAAGGGATTTTCTTGGGGACCCTTCCCAGAACTGGGCTTTGTGCTAGGGAAAACCTCTTAAATGCGAACCTCAGTCTCCTCCCAAGGTCAGAGACTTACAACTTTCATTTTTCCCCTTGACAATTGTTTTCTCATAAGGGCTGCTGATGAGGTAGGTGGATGTTAGTTAGAATAATGGGAGGGAGGAGTAGGGCTAATTTGACTGTCTTTTAATAAGGCAGTACTGGCCCCAATTTTTGGCAGATTTCTTTAGAATATGAGATGCTTAGAGCCCATTGTTTTCAGGTGTAGACCCTACTGCCAATTCCGGGAAAACAGTCCTAGTGAACATCTATTTCATGTACTGTTCAAGTCCCTTATACCTACTGATTTTCTGTTCACTTGTTCAACAATTACTGGTAGAAGAGTGAGGAATCTCCAATTGTAATTGTGGGTTTGTCTATTTCTCATTTCAATTCTATCAGTTTTGCTTTATGTTTTTTTCAAGCTTTGTTTTTTAGGTGCTTATATATTTAGAATTGTTATCTCTTCCTGATGAACTGTCCCCCTCTATCAATATAAAATGTCCCTCTTTATTCCTGGTGTATTTATTCTGAGATCTACTTTTCTGATATTAATATAGTCACTTCAGCTTGTTAGCTATTATTTGGGGTGGTGGTGTTTGTATGATTTGTATTTTCCCATTCTTTTATTTCTAATCTACTTGTGTCTTTATATTTAATATGAATGTCTTATAGACTGCACATAATTAAATTTTAAAAAATCTAGTCAAGCAGTAACTGCCCTTTGATAGTAGTGTTTAGATTGTGTAATATAATTATTGTGGAACACCTGGGTGTCAGTTGATTATGCCTCCAACTCTTGATTTCAGCTGGTCATGATCTCATGGTTGGTGAAATCTAGGGCCATGTTGGGCTCTGTGCTAACAGGAGGGAACCTACTTGGGATTCCCTTTCTCTCTTTCTGCTCCTCCCCGCAACATTCTCTCTCTTAAAAATAAATAAACTTAAAAAATTATTGATATTATTGGGATTAAATATACTATGTTGCTATTTTTTTCTTTTTATTCTACACTGTTCTTTTCCCACTTTTCCTACTTTCTTTGGATTAATTGGTTATCTCCACTATTGGCTTGTTGGATATTTCCCTTTTATTTTTAAATGTGACTCTGAGTTATGAAATATGCATTTTAAACAAAATAACATTATAGTACTTCAAGTATAGTGCAAGAAACTAACAACAGTGTACTTCCATTTCCTTCCTATATCCTTTATGCTACCATTTTAATGGATTCTATGTTTACATATGTTGAACTTCCATAATTTATTGTTACTGTTTTGCTTTAAATGGTCAATTAAATTTTAAGAAAATTAAAAGTAAGAAAAATACCTTATGTTTACTTATATATTACCATTCCTGGCATTTTTTATTCTTTTGTGTAGATCCAAGTTCCACCTGGTTTTCTTCTGCCTGAAGAACTTCATGAAGAATTACATTTCTTGTACTGTGTCTGCCTGATGAAAAATTCTTTGCACTTTTGCTCATCTGTAAGTCTTTATTTCAGTTTTATTTTTGCACTAGGCATAGAGTTCTAGCTGACAGTTTTCCTTTATTCCTTTCAGCACTTAAAGTATATTACTCTATTGTCTCCAAGCTTCCATAATTTCTGGCAAGAAGTTTGTAGTAATTGATGTCTTTATTCCTTTGTTTGTGTTATAACATGCCTCTTTCTCTGGCTACTACTTTTATGATTTTTTTCTTTATCACAGTTTTTCAATTTGATTATAAGGCTTTGGTGTGGTTTTCTTTTCTTCTTCTTTTTTTTAAAAATACTTTTTGTCTATTGATGGACACTTGCGTCACTTCCATATCTTGGCTATCATAAATAATGCTTCAGTAAATAATGCTTCATGTATCTTTTCAAATTAATGTCTTTATTTTCTTTGGGTAAATACCCCAGTAGCGGAATTACTGGGTCATATGGTAATTCTATTTATATGTATGTATGTATGTATGTATGTTTTAAATTTCTTGAAGAACCTCCATATTGTTTTCCAGAGTGTGGCTGCACTATTTTGCATTACTGCCAATAGTGCATGAGGGTTTCCTTTTCTCCACATCCTTGCTAACACCTGTTGTTTCTTGTCTTTTTGATTCTAACCATTCTGACAGTGTAAAGTGGTAGCTCATTGTGGTTTTAATTTGCATTTCCCTGATGATTAGTAATATTGAGCATATGTTCAAGTATCTGTTGGCCATCTGTATATCTTCTGTGGGAAAATGTCTATTCAGGTCTTCTGCCCATTTTTTATTGGATTGTTTGTTTTTATAATGTTGCATTGTAGAAGTTCTTTATATATTTTGGATTTTAACTTCTTATTGGCTATATCATTTGCAAATATCTCCTCCCATTCAGCAGGTTGCATTTTTGTTTTGTTGATGGTTTCTTTCACTATGTAAAAGCTTTTTATTTTGGTATAGTCTCAATGGTTTAATTTTGCTTGTGTTTCCCTTGCCAGAGGAGACATATCTAGAAAAATGATGCTACAGTTGATGTCAAAGAAATTATTGTGTATGTTTTCTTCTAGGAGTTTTATGGTTTCAGGTCTAACAATTAGGTGTTTAGTTTATTTTGAGTTTATTTTTATGTATAGTGTAAGATAGTGGTCCAGTTTCATTCTTTTCCATGTAGCTGTCCAGTTTTCTCAGTGCTATTTGTCAAAGAGATTGTCACTTCCCTATTGTATATTCTTGCCTGCTTTATCATAGATTAAATGACAACATAAGCTCTCTGGTCTCTCTGTTCTTTTCTATTGATCTGTGTGTCTGTCCTGCAACCAGGACCATACTGTTTTGATTATTACAACTTTGTAGTATATCTTCAAATCTGGGATTGTGATACCTCCAGTTTTGTTCAAGATAGCTTTGGTTAGTTGGGGTCTTTTCTGGTTCTGTAAAATGTCAGAATTATTTGTTCTACTTGTGTGAAAAATGCTATTGCTTTTTGATAGGGATTGCATTGAGTCTATAGATTTCTTTGACTAATATGGACATTTTAATAGTATTGTTAAATTCCTTCCTTCCTACCTTTCATCCTTCCTTACTTCTTCATTATCTCCCTTTCTCCCTCACTTTCTTTCTCTCTCTCCTTCCTCCCTCCCTCCTTCCCTTCCTTCCTTCCTTCCCTTGTTCCTTCCTTCCTCTGTCTCTCCTTCTTTCTCCTTCCCTCTGTTCCTTTCTCTTTTTTTCTTCTTTCCTTCTTTCTTTCTTTTGTCTGATTGCTGTGGCTAAGGGTTTCCAGTACTATGTTGAACAAAAGTGGTGAGAGTGGACATCCTTGCCTTCTTTCTGATCTTAGAGAAAAGGTTTTCTGGTTTTCACCATGGAGTATGATGTTAGCTGTGGGGTTTTTATATGGCCTTCATTATGTTGAAGTTTCCTCTAAATCTACTCTGCTGAAGGTTTTCATCATGAGTGGATGTTGTATTCGGTCAAATGATTTTTCTGCATCTATTGAGATGATCATATAGTTTTTATCCTTACTCTTATTAATGTGATGTATCATGTTGATTGATTTGTGAATATTAAACCATCCTTGCATCTTTGGAATAAATCCCATTTGATCAGGGTGAATGATTTTTTTAATGTATTCTTGGATTCAGTTTGCTAGTCCTTTGTTCAGGATTTTGTATCTATGTTCATCAGAGGTATTAGCATGTAGTTTTCCTTTTTCGTACTGTCTTTATCTGGTCTTTGTATCAGGATAATACCAGCCTCAGAATGAATATGGAAGCTTTCCTTTCTCTTCTAGTTTTTGGAATAGTTTGAGAAGAATAAGTATTTATTCTTCTTTAAATTCTTGGTAGAATTCATCTGTGAATCCAGTTTGTCCTGGACTTTTGTTTTTTGGGAGGTTTTTTTATTGTTGATTTAATTTCATCACTAGTCATCAATCTACTCAAGTTTTCTATTTCTTCCTATTTCAGTTTTAGAAGATTAAAGGGCTAGTATCCAAAATCTATAAGGAACTCACCAAACTCCACACCCGAAAAACAAACAATCCAGTGGAGAAATGGGCAGAAGACATGAACAGACACTTCTTCAAAGAGGACATCCAGATGGCCAACAGACACATGAAATGATGTTCAGCATCCCTCCTCATCAGGGAAATACAAATCAAAACCACACTGAGATACCACCTCATGCCAGTCAGAGTGGCTAAAATGAGCAAATCAAAGGACTCTAGATGCTGGCAAGGATGTGGAGAAAAAGGCAACCTCCTACACTGTTGGTGGGAATGTAAACTGGTGCAGCCCCTCTGGAAAACAGTGTGGAGGTTCCTCAAAAAAATAACAATAGAACTCCCTTATGACCCAGCAATAGCACTGCTGGGAATTTATCCAAGGGATACAGGAGGGCTGATGCATAGGGGCACATGTACCCCAATGTTCATAGAAGGTTGTATGTTTCTAGGAATTTGTCATTTGTTCTCTATTGTCCAACTTGCTTGCATATAATTTTTCATAATATTCTCTCATAATTCTTTGTATTTCTGTGATGTTAGTTGTTATTTCTTCTCCTTCATTTCTGATTTTATTTATTTGAGTTCTTTCTTTTTTTCTTTAGTGAATCTGACTAAAGTTTCATCACTTTTGTTGATCTTTTGAAAGGACCAGCTCCTGGGTTCATTGATCTTCTATGTTTTTTTTTAGTGTCTGTTTCATTTATTTCTGTTCTAATATTTGTTGTTTCCTCCTTCTACTGGCTTTGGGCTTTGTTTGTTCTTTTTTATCTATCCCCTTTAGGTGTAAGGTTAGGTTGTTTATTTGAGATTTTTCTTGTTTTCATAAAGTAGGTCTGTATTGCTATAATCTTTCCTCTTAGAACAACTTTTGCTACATCCCACAGGTTTTGAGTCATTGTGTTTGAATTTTCTTTTGTTTTCATGTATTTTTAATTTCCTCTTTGATTTCTGGGTTGATCTATTTATTGTTTAATAGCCCCCTATTTATTTTTGTTTTTTCCAGATTTTTTCTTGTGTTTGATTTC